TTTCATTAACATAAATAATAATTATGTAAATTATTCATTTTAAGCCGAAATGATTTTTGAATTTAAATAATACAAGTAAGAAAGTTTTTGTTTTTGCTTTAAACGAATTTTATGCAAACACTTCCTAATTAATAAAAGCGTTTGAATAGATTTTCACCTCATACCGCAATCCAAATTTATTTTAGCCTTAGCACTAGATGTTAAAACATTATGTGAAAAAAGGGAGATTTTAAAAAACTTTAAATTCGAAATGGAATCTGTAAGCCTTTTTTGCGCCTGTATTTCACATAGGACAAGACAGTCTTCGAACTCTGTTTTTCAACATTTTCATGAAATGCTTCAAAGAAATTTGCAAATTTTAAACAAATTGTCTGTTCAAGAATTATATCCAAAACAAAATCGGAATAGCGGACGCAATTTATAAAGTCTTCAAATTCAATGCAAACATGTAACTAAAACTTTCTTAAGTAAGAAAAAAAAGAATGTGGATTAACTAGAAGTGAATTCTCGATATCTTCTGATCACCTTAGATAAATGGGAACAATATTGTCAAAAAGGCGTGTCAGCGAATATGCATTTCTGCACAGAATATTTACGTAACTTCAGCATATATGTGTGTGAAATGTCAGCAGAGACCTAGAGAAATAATGTAATCAAGCGACGCATTGCGGAAATGTTATTGTTCAATAATTCAAACCAACTCTAATGAATTCTCCAGATGTTAGAAATCAAAGATTTATTATCTAAATGTGGAATAAAAATATTTCACAAACAAGAGATAAAAGTACTGGAAATCCGAAATAATGTTTACATTAAAAATAATAAAAATATAATGCGCTTTTATTTTTTTGCGGATATTGCACCAGCTCAGTTTTCAGTAGTCGGTGATGTGTGCTTACACATCTTAAAAAGACGTTCAGACGAGCAAAGGAACGGTTGGTTGCTATTTAGAGTATTACAAACCCAGTGGTGACAATAGTTTAATTTTATGCGGAGAGGCTGATGTTGCTGAAAATAGTGTCATCTTAACAATATAAAATTGAATCGTTTTGATATGACAAACAATAGTGTAGAAGTTAGCTCAAAACTGGTGGTTAAGAATTGAAATGTTTTGTCTTTTAGTTTGCTTTGCGTTGCAGACAAGTGAGGGGTGACGCTATTCACATCCATCTTCAATATCGATCGATGGAGACAAGCCAATCGGGTATTCGCGAAAACAACAGTGAACCTCTGGCCTATAATTTTCCTAAGCGAAAGATTGTTGGGCAAAGAAGCGAAATAAACACTGTGCACTCCCTGACCATATTTAATGTTTTTATAGCAAGTTATGCCACGATGTAGCTCTTGATCACTTATGAAAATATTTGAATTATTATCGTTTTTGTGTATAGTTTAAATGCATTTATATGTCCAAATAAGCTGCTTAGACCATACATTCTCAAAAAAAAATTTGACTAAAAGCCACATCTTGATCCAATTAAGACATTGGAGTACAATGGCGACGCCAAAAATCACCTCCACATTCATCATATGTTTAACATTTTCGAGAAATTTGATAAAAGAGAGAAGATAACAGTTTGAGTTTCGTTACGATTTTATGAACAACTAAAGGTACAAATGGAAGGAAAGACAAGTCACTTTAGAACCCATAAAATCCTTTTAAATGCGTTCTGCGTTCATGATTCGATCATTTTGCCTGCGAACAAACATTCCTTAAGGGAATAATCGAAAATTTATCTTAAAAGTGCATGACCTGAAAGTTTGAATAAAACTTTACTATTATTTTCTATCTAGCGAACGGTCGTATTCATTTATTACGGAGTAACTTTTTAATAACAAAAAGTTGATAAATAGCTTGATTGATAGACTGATACGTTTGTGATTCTCAACTATATTTTCATTAATTGAATCTTTTTTTTTTTGTTTGTTTTTGAATACGTGTCCATTTTAACGTCGTGATGTTCAGCTTATTCACGCGATAGGGAAATAATAACACAATTTAAAATGAAATATTAATAATATAATAAGATAATAAGATAACATACGTAATGCTTTAGAAGAGTTAATTTATATTTAATTATTTACGCAAATAATTATTGAGTTTTTAAGTCTTTAAAAGGTATTAAAAGGATAAAGAGATTATTTTTATTTATTCATTCTGCTCTCTTTTGTTCATTTATCTTTTGGTATAGTTTGTGCATTTATCTTGGTTTTCATTTACAACTGTGAATACTTAGTTCTTTGAGTAGTTGCTAGCTAAATGTTTACAAATCGAGCTTTCACTTGGATTATATCTGAAAGTAGCGGCACACTCATTCTAAACAAAAGCCTGCCTCGAAAAGGTGTAGAGAAGGAAAGACGTTTGAATTCCTCTGTAGAGTTATATAAAAGTTTGATTAAAAAGTGTGAATACTTCTTCCAGCGAAGAAGCAATAAAGAGAATGTATTTATATTCAACACTATTTGTGGTACCTGGTATATTATCCACTTTTTATTGCGTATTTAGATTTAGATGCATATTCCCAATCGATGTAAGCTGCCACAAGTTGGCATATTTGAGATATTTTGATGAAATTTATTTGAAAGATTAGGCGGCTTTGTAATAATGCCCTGTTTGGGGTGATTCTGGATATAAAAAAAAGTGATATTATTAATAGCTCTCGGCAAAAACAAATTTTTTAAAATTTGAGTGGATTCAGATCTTATTTTATATCCAGCATAAAACTGTTCCAAAAAGGCAAAAAAGAAAGCCATTTGTGGAGGACAAGTTTAACAGGTTGTAACGAAAATTTATTTAGTGGATGTCTCCTATTCGCGCTACACTGTAACTATTAGAAAACAGAGAGTAAATTGGAGGAAATCGGGAGGTGGTGGCTCCAGCCTAGTGTGTGTGTACCCAAATCGAGAAGCATTACGCCTACATTGGCTGAGCACTCACTATAGCCATGACCAAAAGAAGCTCTACTGGGCTTGAGGTTTGAACCCGCAAACACATAGCTTGGTAGAACACGTCAGTATGCCTTTACTTAGAACAAGATACGATTATATTAGGCGAAGGGATGTGGCATATTTAACTGTCGGCCCTACCCGATTAGCATTTGTTTTTTTTTTAACCAAACACATTTAAAAGTTAAAGCAAAATTGATTCCGTCAATAATACATGAGAAGCAACACGCGCTGTATGTTATGCCGTATTAGCATAATCTTGCTATTACATAAAATATATGGTAAAAGTCATACGCATACAGAGAAATGCTGTCATTATGTGGAGAGATGATGTTTCCAAGCAAAACAGAACAGAGGCATAACCCTTACAAAAATGTTAAAGACGAATATTTTTTTCTTAATATTAGCAGACCGTAGGACAGATAGATAGACAAATAGACATGGTTTGGCTTATCCTCCTATACGGATTCTTTTTCGTAGTTTATACGACTGATTGATTGCCAGTAATTGGCAAACTTAAGCTACGCCCTGCGATGTAGACCAGAAAACAAGCCAAGAGATTGAAATATATTTTTTGGAAATAATTTTTACATCACCATCGATTTTCTCAGCAGAGATTTAGACGTTTATATCTTAAATAGAAGTTTGCTCAATCGAAATTATTGAAAATATATTTAGTCAGAGAATTCTTTAACCAGTTAAATGTGTACAACGAATATATACATCATGATCCGCTTATCCGTCTTTGCTGGATTCTCTCATAAGATTTTCTCATTATCAATGTATACATTGCTCACTTTGTTAAGTCGTTTCATTGCAATCTAATTGTAAAAAGTTATCAACTAATCTGCAATCAAGTAAACATCATGAGCTTCTTCATGAAAATTAGGTAACATATGGAAAAAATTCGATATTTTTCGAAAAAGTCTTAAATTCATGATCGTTCATCGCGATTGACATTAGCAAACATAATCTCCCATCTTCACCATTATCGGAATGGACTTGTGAAACAAATTATGGAATCCAGCTGCTGATAAATAAGACTCGCATTATAATTTAAAAATTAATTTGTAACCTAAAAAAAAGAGAAGTGAAGTGACAGGTATACCGTACTAATACATTAAACAGATTCCTATCACACATCTCTGTCGAGAGCATTTACGGCTAGCTTATGTCTATCATATGGATATCTATTTGATCTTAAAGTGCCTCTATTATAAAAATAAATCAGACTTTTTTCGCTTTTCCACCTATTGAGTATGGAAAATTCATTTTTAGACGTTGAGATAACTTTCATCCGCCTGAGTGGCCGAGTAGGCAAGAGTCTCGACTAGCAACTCAATAGTCGTGGGTTCAAACCTCAAGTGCAGTAGAGTTTTTTAATAACAGCCGATAGCCCTAGATGCTAGTGCTTTAAGACTTTAGTCTTAGAATTTATTCTTTGGCTAAATTTATAATAATAATAATAATAATAACTTTCTTACTTGATTAAGTTTAAATAAATCAAATTTAAAAAGTAGAAAACCAACGCTCTCGCATATAAAAACATTTAAATATTTAGTTTAAACTTCAATTGTAGTGAGCAATAGAAAGAGGGGGGAGAAGGAGAAGGTAAGAGAGGGAGAATAAAGGTAATACTTAATTGTTTCGTTCTTCGAGATATTTTTTAATTTTGACACAAAATTTAACTAAAATGCATAATATTAGAAAAGAACATTTTACAACAATGTATGGATGTACAAATATATATGTATATATATAGAGAAAGAATAGACAAAGGTACACACAAAAATACGCAGGTACATAGATAACGAACACACATACAAGAAACGACACTGACTTGTTAAAAATTTGTAGCATAGAGCAACAATAATGATTATAATAATGATTTCGAAAATTTTAAACAGAGAGTAAAGAAGAGAATATATAAATAAATATCTTTATTTTAGTTATTTCTTTTTTTTCATTCTTTTTTTTGTGATATGTGTTTAATTTTTCTTTTCTTTTTTTTGCGAGTGCGTAAAATTTTATGATTTTTTTTTTGTTTTACGTACCAAAGAATTTGTTAAAAAATTTAAATGCATCCCTTTTATTAGATGTATTATCTGTGGGAAAAGTTGAAATGTGAATGTTTCAGTTAAGGGAGAATATATGTATGTATGTATGTATGTTATGTTTATCGACATGGTAGATAGGTAGATAGATAGATAGATAGATAGATAGAGAGAGAGAGAGAGAGAGAGAGAGAGAGAGAGAGAGAGAGAGAGA